GTCATGGATATACTGTGAAAATAGCATCCTTTAAATGGGGGGAAATGAAATGTGTTTATTCCTATAGTCTAAATCCAATTTGCTTTGGTTAACAGCAAATCTAATTTAAATGTATTCATTCACATGTATAAAAAGAGAAAAGAGGCATCTAGTGGATGCACTAAAGGATTTAACTCAAATACCACATTTGCCATTCCCATCTTTGGCTGTCTTTGAAAGTCGTGATCTTTATGAAATAGGGAGGAAAGAAAAAAGCAGTTACTTCAATTTTAGGAATTCTAGAATGCTAATGACTGAACAAAATATCTTTACCTTGGGAGGAAAAGGAGAGTACCTAAAACAATGTCATATATGGTGCCAGTGTCCAAGATTAAGATCCAGAGTTGCGATTTTCCACTTCAAAAAGGTGAAGAAAAACACATAAGATACTACTGCTCAAATAAATCATATTTCTTTTGAGATTAATGGCAGATGAAGGATACAAAATTCAAATATAATGAAAATGAGATTAACAGATCTTTGACCGTGAGGTTATTGAAACATACATACATATAAGGGATGAGCCACTTTCTCAATGGACTGTCTTAAAAGGAATGAATTTTAAAAATTTACAGCTATAAGTGGATGTGTGAAGAGAATTTAAATACCACCAAGGATGGAAACCACTTATGGGGGCAAACATAATGAAGTCTATATAGGTGTTTATTTTATAAGACAGCTCATCTAAAACATAGTTACAGACCATTACTTTAATTAAAAAAAAAATCTGTGTAATTTTCTAGAGCAAAACAACACTGGATAAGAAACACATTCCCACAAATCCTACTCAAACCAAGTAACTTTATTCAATAAATATTTGAGCACTGGCGATATCTCAAGAGTTATACTATCACAAACTTTGCTTTTACTTCTAAAAATTGAGTCTTTAAATCTAGCTAAGTACTTCATCACAAATTCCATCCCTATCACTGGCAAGCTGAATTTTGAATATGATGTAAAGTATACAAATTTATCACCAATTTGGAGATAACATGACCAAATGTGTAAAAGTTGAAATGTTGCTTACCTAAATGAGAACAGTTTACAGTTGCAATGGATATTTTTTTTTTTGTTTTGAGACTGCTGCTGCCCCATAAAGTCCAATTTAGTCTCAAACTGAGTTCTCAGCCTTTACTATCAGCTGAGCATCTCACCTGAGCAACTATGGGTATCACGCAGGATTTGGGCTGTTTGCTACCTTGCCCTCTAGAGTTAGCAGTGTCTAGCACAATGATGTTGGTTACAGCTCTCCCACAGGTCAGATGCTAAGTAATGTTAACAAATACTGAGAAAATTTTCAAAAAATCATTGTTCAGCATAAATAAAAGATAAAAAGCTTACCAAGTCCTATTCTGTTACTATATGGCCTCTTCCAAATCATGTAAAATATCTGTTTCCTCACTTGTAAAATATAAGTTGGAAATCAAACTTAAGATTCCACAGTGATGCCAATTGTGGTTGCATGAATTCTACCTTCACTGCAACAACTTTAAAGTTTTTCAATGTGTAACAAATATTCTCCAGTCTTATCCCCCACTGATTAATCACATTCTTACCTCCCCAGCAATTACTAGTCTTTACTGATGTTGCTTCTTCCACAGCTAAAACATCATCTCCACCTACTCTCCACTTACCAATCTTATTCACCTTTCAAGATCTTGGGTAGGAGAAAACTGTTGCAATAGCAACGGCTCTGTAAAATACTTTAACGGCTCTGTAAAATACTTTAGTCATCTCATGAACATACATAGTATCAGTTACCCCAATTAAACATTATGGCACCAAAAATCAAGTCTGAGATTTTAATATTGCCCATCTCTAAAGAATGGGGATTAAGAATTTATGTGAGAAAGATACCATGCACTTCCATAAGAGAATGTACATTTCCAATTCTAGCATCAACTTATAATAAACCCCCAAAGAAGATTAACAATCTACAGCACCCCTAAATCTTACTCACTGGAAAAGGATAAAGTTTTGAATTAAATCATCATCTCTAAATTAACTGGCAAAAATGGAATTTGGACAAGAGATTAAAAATTGATCAATAAAAACCACTCATAGTATTCCTTCTATTGCTGTTAAATGTTACAGAACATCCCAGGGCATTTCAACCAGTATCATACAAAGCTCAGATTTAGAGCACACTATTCATTTACTTATACTATGGAGATTTCAAAATGATTAAAGTTTTAGTCAAATTACCACTGAATGCCTACATTAGAACTAATTTATCATTATTTAATAGCACCCCACTATTTTATACAGAATTTCACTTTAAGGAAAAAACTAGAAAAGGGGAAATTTTTTTCAAGTATGGTTATTTTTAAAGGAATGGAAATTGTATATCCAAGTAATTCAAAACTTGTTTTTAAAATTAAAAGGATTTTATGCATTCACATATCCATCTACCACATTTACTTATACAGTATTAAGTGCCAGGCATTAAGCAAAGCATAAAAAAAAAAAATAAAGACATCCATTGTGGAACTGCTTTCCCCAACTATTGTTAAATGTAGCATTTATCTTTAGGAATTTCAGGAATACACAAAATAGCAAATTTAAACCATAGGCACACTCTAAATTTCACTTTACCAGTTGAGTCTTTTCCCTCAAAACTGCCACGACTGCCACATTTCATGAAAATCTAAGCTTAATAAGGTATCCTTCAAATCTCAGGGTAAAATATTTCTTACCTCTGTTTTTACTGCCATACTAGCCTCTAATCTTGACAGAATTTTCTCTTTAAGATTTATTAACTTTTTAAGATTTATTTATTATGCATACAGAACTGGGGTAGAGGCCAGAGGTGCAGTGCCACCAGGGAGGGCCCATGATTTTTTATATTATTTTCACAACAATCTATGAAGCACTTTTTTTTTTTAAGATTTATTTATTTATGTACATAAGAACTGGGGCCTAGGCCAAAGATGGGGGTAGTGACAGGATTAATCAGAGATGGAATGGGAAGCAGAACAAGCAGGTTCACTGAAATACACTGCTGAGGGGAGCAATAGGCAAAGACAGGAGAGGTCTGCTGTGCCATGTGAATTAGCTTACTGGCTGGGGATAGAACTCAGGCCACAGTGGCTGATGATAACTTGACAGTGCTAAGACTTTAACTCCTGTACTATTAGGAAGGTTCAAGACAGAATGTTTTAGTCATCTGCATACAAAGTGTTTGAAATGTGTCTGCGCATTTGTGTATATGCATTAATACACAGGGTGAAGAAATACCTCTGAAACTAGAGGTCCAAATGAAGTATATAATTACTGTTTTACATTTGAGTAAAAATGAAATTTTATTTTGACTCAACACCTGTTTTTAAATGTTACCAAATGATGAAACTGTAAATCATCATTTGCTGAATCAAAATCAAAATATTGCATTTCTTAATAATTTTTAAATTTCTAATTTATTTTTCACTTGTCATTTTTACTGAATCATTTATTTCTTCCCTTTTTAGTGGAATATTATCAATGCAATGCTGAATTCAAACAAGTATTTTTTAACTTCTGCTCCTAAGTTTCAAATGTATCAGCTACACTGAATTATGGCACGGAGAATACCAAGGACAACCAAAGACCTTAACTTACTTTTGTTAAGACTGCATCAAGGCCAAGCAGACTGAATAATGAAAATTCTAGTATGCTGAAAAACAAATCAATGAAAGATGGATGAATGACTCTGAAAAATCTCTTTTCACTGAATGCTACCAACTTTCCAGACCCTCAAACAAATCCTAAAATTCTTGTTCATTGGTAACTTAGACATGGTATTGACATAATTACAAGGTTTCAGATCTGCTGTGAGAGCTCCCCCTAACAATTCTATCCTTGGTCCACTACGTAGACTACAGAATATTACAATGAAGTATGTTCTAAGACACAATTCTAATCTGATTGTGAGAATCTTTAACACCCAGAAGTTATGTCTATGATTTTAGCAAGTATAAATTAAAGAAGAGACTGAAGGTAGCTAGCCAAGGTAGTAAGGTAGCCAAGACTGGCAACTACATAAGTCCAGTTTTAGAGGAACAACCATTTTACAATGGTAAAAATGAGCTTTTAGACTACAAATAATATCCAATAGTGTTACAAGGATTTTGGTAGCATCTATCGAATTACTTGAACGAAGAAAGTTTCTGTTAAAATATTCTCCAGGACTTCTATGTAGAAATTAAATATAAAGAACATAATAGCCTATTATCCCAGCATTCCATATTCTTATTTCTGGAGGTATTTCTAAACATCTTGCCAAGAATATTTCAGTATGTTAAAGAGGGTTTGAAAACATCCTGAAAACTGAATTAGGAACCTAAGTAGATCAGAAGTGGGTGATTACTAGCAGTAAGTGCAAGTTACAAGTATTTAATACAAGTTGTGAAAACTGTCTTACTACAAATAGAGCATCAAATTAATCAGGTGATAATCATTATCTACTTTATTTCTATCCATTAATATTTACCAATTAATCAAAATCCTAGTTATTAAAAAAGGAGAGATCAGGTAATACTGTTACTATTAATGAACCAATGTAAAGGGCTAAGCTGTATTTTCATGTATTCTCATAATTCATGTAAACTGCATTGCTAATCCTTATAAATTATAAATTGAGAACCAGAAAATTCTTTACCCCCAACACTCAAAAGATTGAGTTCCATAAACAATTAATACAATTTAAAATATTCAGATTCACTCTAAAGCTTACTCCCCAATTCTATCTTAAACACAAAACACTTTGTTCTTTAACTTTTGGACAGAAGTATACTTATCTTACGTGTTATTTTCATCGACAAAATGTTTAAGTGTTCACTGGTATCTTAAAAATCTATAAAACACTTCCCATGTTAGTCTTCTACAAATAACTGGTGAAATTTTAAGTTTGCAAAAGGTTTTCCACTATAACACAAAGTAGAAAGACACTGCTTCTTTAAAAAATAAAAAAAACATTAGAAAAGGTAATTCAGTTTTAATTTATTTTCATCACTTTTTCTTCATGATCCAGGTATTTTTAAAATGCAAAGAAAATTAACTTTTCATGATGTCAGGGACTGGCACTAAAAAGATTCTCAGACTGCAAATGAGTTATACAAATGAAAATATCAAATGGAGATCCAGTTATCAAAATGAAAGCACTCAACATATTAAAAATTCACAATTATTTGTATAGAGCACATAAAAAAGTCAGCTTGCTAACGAACTATTGTGATTGTAAAGAACCATTGCAGAGGTTTGAAGAAAATAGATTTATTAGTTAACTTATAAAGAGTTAATTAAAGAGCTTGAAACAAGTATTAAAAAGAAATTGTGCCTTTATTAGAATGGTGTTAGGCATTAAATATACCAGTTATGGTAATCAATTTAATCTTTTTTTTTTTTTGGTAAGAAATGACACTACAGAACTGCAATACTGGTCCAACAGTCTTGTCTTTACTTTTCCTTGAAAGCAAGAAACAGAATGCAAGTAATCAGAAAGCACTAGCAGGCATCAGTTAATCCAAGATACTAACTTCTTAGTTCCAAAAGCACTTGCAAAGAAAACCATTGGAGGGGCACAGGGGAACAGATGCAATTCATAATAACTGGAATCCCATGAATGTGTACGCCAAGTCTCATGAGGTTATTTTTAACTTATCCTTTACTTGGTCTCTTTTTCTCCCTCAAATACTAGTTTTTCTTTGACTTTTTTCCTCAAAGTATAAAAAGTATGAAATATAAACAAGCTCTTGCATTGCACACTGAGAAGTGTACAATTCAAGCATTATAGAGCTATCTACATACCGATAAATCCCATCAAATCTTGGATAATTCAATAATATACAAAATATCAGGGCACAGAAAGAACTAAAATTCACTTCTTTTTGTTACACACATGGTTCAAATAGTCAATCTAAAGAAAAACACTTAATTATTTTGGCTCTCCTCTACATTCGCATGTTGATATATTTATTAAAATATTCCTGTATAGTTATGTTTGGTCTTATTATTTCAAGTCAGGTTTAAATTTCAAAACCAGCCATCCAGACAAAACAGATAATCAGAAAGATTATTTCTTCCCCACCTCCCTAACCCCAATAACTATGAAGTCAATTTTACGACATGACTCCAAACACTGGATTGTGACGACAAATGCTAGGTCCAATTTCTTCATAATCTTTTTTGGTGTGGCATACTTGGTAGAACTCAGGCTGAAAATAAAAACATATATTTTTATAAAGGTAAAAATCTACTATTTTCGATATGCTTTAAAACAGAATTGTATATCTAAAATGCTTAAATATTTGGAAAAATTTTAGAAATCCTAGTAACTGTGACTTAAAACCAGTTACCAATCTCTACAGAACTGAAAAAGCACATTTAATTCATACATTTACTTTCCTTTGCTCAATACCTATTTCTTCTATGTTTTTAATATTTTGACAAGCAAAGAAAAATACAAACATAAAATTCAAATGACTTCCATTTATGTACATATACATCCAATTTTTAAAACTTTGTCACATAATATTTCGATAAAATTTAACGATAGGTGCCTTATTTTTCTGAATTCTGTTAGCATTGATGGATTCTTTTATCTTTTAAAAAACTAATAATATTTTAAAAGTAAGCGTCATCTCACCGTGGAAGCCAGCATGGATCCTCCAAACCAAACTGCATATCGTTGCATGTGGTGTGTAATGACTTGTACATCAATAGGTTTTGGCTGCAAAAGGTGGAAAAAAAGGCAATTTAATAATGAATTCAAATAAAAATTCTATGCTATTATGCTATGTTTTGTGTACTCAAAAAAAAAATCCCACTTCAAACAGGCAAAAGTACAAAACAAAATACAGCAAAAACAAATTAAGCTAATTCTTAACTTGTGGGGGAAAGGAAATAATCTAACTAATCTGTGAACACTGTACTATGATTATAACATTAGGGTAAAGATTAAAAGTGAGCAAACACTGAACTCTAGTTAGCAGGTCTGTTCTCACAGGTGGCATAGACTAACAATGCTAAAATTACTATATACATACTCAGGAACTGTGCAAAAACATAATATATAGTTGATTATGAAACTAGGTTTCCCCCAGGCAGAGAAAAGCATTATGAGAAGTAAAAGCTAGAATGAGCTTTTTTATGTTCTGCAAATGGAATTATTGGCACGAATTCTTTAATTTTTTTTTTTTTAAAGAACTAACAGTGTGTATGTGGCACACACCCACCCACATCTAGCCTATAGCTAATAGGCTAATGCACAAGAACACCTCCAAGTAGTTATCCCCAGTAGCAGTGAATGTACCTAGTATCCAACACTTAATTTCTTAAAAGCATGTTTTTACTAATAGGAACAAGGTAGCCCTGGAGAAGAGTAAAAGAAAAGGCTGATTCTAAAAGAAAGAAAAAATAAGGAATGAGTGTGGAACATGTTGCTGTGTTAGAAACGAAAGAAAGAGTTTGAAGAATACTGGGGTCATATCAAAAGGATATAAAAAGCACCGTGACTAGGCCATACTGGTAAAATCTGAGCATCAAAGTTAATGACAATGATAGTTATTGATGGCATTTCAATACTATTACACATGTGAAGTGGGCTATACAATATGAGGTCAGTAGTCCCTTATAGATATCACTGGATACTGAAGGAGACAGAAAACTAAGAAACACAGAAGGAATGATGGATTTTTTTAGAAAAGAAAAATTGATGGTAAAGATCAAACATGTTAAGATTATAAAAGACAAAAAACATTAAATGCTTGCTCTGGACTTAAGGAAAATGTGTAATCCAACACTTGCTGGGGGGGGGGGAGGAGGAATATCTTTTTTTCCTTTTGATATAAAAGGGAATAGTAGATAGAAAACTGCAGAAATTTAAACCAGACCTATAATGAGGTAACAGTATTGTAACAAAGAAAAGCTCATGATCTTACAAATCACACTCTATCTTTAGAAAATATGCACTAAAATATTTGGGGGTAATGAACCATTATATTTGTAACAGACCCTCAGTTCAGAAAAAAGGTATTTACACGTAGTTACATTCTGTATTACATATGCTTATAGAAATAGAATAAAGCAAATGTGATAAAATGCTAACAACAGAATTTAGATGAGTAAATACAGTAATTCCTTTTATTAAGTTCTATAATTTTTCTGTAAGTAGGAAATGTCTCAAAATAAAAAGTTAAAAACTTACATCTAGTAAAAAGTTGTGGCTTTTTTTTTATTTTAAAAATTGCATTTGATTGCCATAAAAATTATTGAATGGAAATAAAGCCTGGCTTAAAAACACATAAGGATGTGAAGATTTATAAAAATGACTACAGAGTAGAATAAGCAGATTCCTCCAGTATCCATATGGTTTTTCCCTATGTCATTAAATATGTCATTTTTAATTAAAAAAAAAAAAGAATTTCTTTGTTCATGTATCTGTAATGAACCATTACAAACTAAGCAAATACTGAAATATACTTTTTACTACACTCCAAGGGGCAGGTTTAAGATAATGCAAATTTAGGAGCCGAAAAAAAGCTGCCATACAGATTTTTCAACAAGTAGCAAACTCTAGGATATTATGTTTTAACTTTTAAGTCATTTTGAGTAACTGTTATTTCTCAGCTTGAGCCTTCATTCTTGGTAATTTTCCAAGTCAAATAAATGTTTTCCTTTATTATTCTCCAGTTAAGAAAGGTGAAACTGGACCCTCTCTGGTGGTGCAGAGGGTTAAAACACAGCACTAAGCAGCTAAAGCCACTTCAGCATGAGTTCGACCTCAGCCCAAGAAGTGATTCACAGCAGACCTCTCCTGACCCGCTCACTGTTTCCCTCAGCAGTGTACGTCATCAATCTGCCAGTTTTGCTCCCTACTCTGTCTCTGGTAAATCCTCTCGCCACCCCTGCACCTCTGGCCTGTACACCAGTTCTGTTTGCATAAATAAATAAATCTTTTAAAAAAAAAAAAAGGGTGAAACAAAAATTTACTGAAAATTCAATGTAAAATGTAGCTCTCTTATGAATTTAAATTTTGGATTTTTTTTTTTTTTTTACAACAAGTACGAAAATCCAGAACATACACAGAAGGGTTATTTTGCTGAACCAGTTATACACTGAGGTTTTTATGTGGGAGGCTAGAGTCCATTTGTGAAGGCAGACTTTACCTCCCAATGTCGACATCTCTTTCACCTCTACTTTGGTGCCATGTTACAGGAGATTTAATTTTTGGGGGGCCATAACATATATTATTCCTGAAATATGTAAGAAATCTTTTTCACAGCTATATCTAAGAATAATTCTGGAAATGTAGATAAAATCCTAGCCAATCAAAGGATGAACAATAGTATGTAATTTGTAATATTAACCTCTTTCCATTAGATTACCCAATAGTTTCTTTTTATCTTTCTAAATAAGAGCAAAAGTTGACAGACATTTACCCTCCCCATTATAGTAAGCATCCTCAACCATCTCAACAGTAACTAAGAAAACCAACCTTCAATCTACCACCACTCAATTCTTCACTTAATTTCAGTCTGGCATCTACAGTTCTTTTCAAATCTCTTTGCAAACGACGTCCAAAATCCCTGAACATGGTTGAACCTCCAGAGAGGACAATATTCTACATTAGTGGAGAAAAATAAACAAGTAAGTATGACCTGTATTTAAAAAGAAAAAAACTCAAAGGTATAAAAACAGTTGGCACAAAAATTCTACTATGTCCTTTTGAAGAGGTATTTTTAAATTTACTATTGAATGAATAAAAAGATGAGTATGATCCTGAATAACAATTTTTGCTGAAAATACTGACCTTGTAAAGAGGACGTCTGACATCAATAGGACAATTCTGGATTACTTCATCTACAACTTCTGAGATAGGTTGAGTAAAATCTGGATTAGCAAACTGAAAGGTAAATTTGGATATATGATACAGATTAGATAACTAACAACCTAAATGTCAGTAAAAACTAACTTTGTAATTCAAAAGCAAAAGGCCTTTCAGAAACAAATCTAGTCTCTAATTCAAATTAAAGACACTGAAATCAGATTTTTCAGATACAGTGAAAATGATGGTGCTATATACCATTTCATAACCATCAGAATTGCAAAAATGTAAAGCCACATATATGTATGCTATGTTAGCTGGAAAAACCTGGGTGAATGTAAACTTCATACTAGTAAAGAGAATAAACAACGATGTAAATCATTTTGGAGAAAAATTTGACAATACGTAATAAAATTTTAATATACATTATTACTAACTCCACGTCTTAGAACAAACCCAAAGCAACTCCCAATACATGTGCACTATTATATAAAATCATATTCACCACAGCTTTGTTTCTAGGAGTAAAGACAACTCCTAAGTCCATCAATAGGGAAGGAAATAAGATACAGTTAATATTTATCATTCATGGATATGGAATTTACTAAATTTATTTGTAACCCCAAAGTCAATATTCAAGGTGCTCCTAGGCATGCAGAGATACAAAACTTCAAGTTGACTGATATACACATTCATAGCTGAAGGTGAATAAGCTCTCTCCCTTTCTCTTTTCATCTTTCATCCAACTTGTGTCCTGATTTTCATGATCTACTTGTCAGTTCACACAGTTTTGTGGTGATTTTACTATTAAAAATTATCCCCATGATAGTAATAAAATGCTATGTAGTACTCCTAGGCATAGGAAGGCGATCATGTACCTTATGGAGAAAACCTATGTATAGGATAATGATCGTGCATATTTGTCATAAAGCTCTTGGCTATGAGTTCAATATTAATGAATTAATAATACATGAAACTTTATCTTTAAATAGAAACACATATTTAAAACAAGACTTTGAATTTCTAGAATAAAAAAAGTAACCTACGGCTTATAGGAATCTAACCCAAGCAATGGTTCAGTATTTGCTAACTCAGTATTTACAGCCAACATCATGTAACCTCTACTGTGAATAATGACAATGAACTGTTATGTTCACATGATGGCATATTATAGTTAAAGCTACTTCCAAATAACTGACATTCAAAAGTAAAATTTATTTTAAAAAGTCTAACAAATTGAATGGTTTAATCTATGTACATCTTACAAATATATGTAGATTTTTATAGACAGATGTACATTTAAAAACATGGACTAAATACATATTAAATTCAGTTTTGCGAAAGTAAAAACTGCAGAAAAAGGAAGAAAAGACAAAAAGACAGGTTCTGGTAAAGGTACTCATTTCTTTAATATTTCTTAAAAATAAAAATGAAAACAATCTTATTATGTTAAAACAGTAACATTTATGTAGTTTAACAGGTACATGTTATGAACATGCTTCAATTTTCTTTTTAATGGACTGGCTATGGAGGTAAGTTTGAGAGAGAATGTTGACAATAAGAGTCAATATCGAATGAAGTTGAATAATATTTTTTAACTTAACATAATGGGCAACATTATTATATTCAACAAAGCAGTTTTACAGAGGAAATAATACTAGAGAAGGCTTCCTTTCTGCCCCATCATTTACTTTTATATATGCAGGCCTATTGACTCTCTTAAAATATAATGTACATTTCCTTAGAAGAGCTACGAAACAGAAAAAGTTTTCAATGTTAAGAGTTCAGAATTAAACCTATATTAAGAAACAAAGATCTTATTTTACTAAAAGTTTTCAAAAATAGATGTGTGTCCATGTATTACTCTTTAAAATGTAAAGGAAAATGCTGGATGGGATTTTCCTAGCTAAAAAAGGTCAAAATCTAGCTCTGAGCTGTCAAAAATAAACAAGTGTGCCTTAGTAAAAAAAAAAAGTGTTGTCTAATGAGCTTCTTGTTTTTAGAGTTAGGTTGTCTTAATGGGAGAGAGAACATTTCTTTATTCATTAAACTAATTCTATAACTTGATTGGTAATTACTAGGAATATGCCAATTTTTTTCCAGTTTCTAAAATTAGTTTTAAATTACAAGCTGGGCATACAATGAAAGAGATGTACTGTTACTTAACTGATGAGCAATGATTTAAAAGATTTTAATTTAGATAAAGTAAAACATAAATAGCAATGGTTATATGGTTAATGGTCTATTTCAGTGATAAGGGAAAAGAAGTTGGCAGTCAAAATCTTTTTAGTGTATTGATGGGCATACATAAGAAACCCTAAATAGTATGTACAGTGGGTATGGAAGTGTGACTTTTATTTAAGAATCCAACCTACACACTAGGGAGTTGTATTTGTCAGGGCTATTCCATATTGTGCTATGTGGAAAAATGAAACAATGTGGTTGTTGACAAGGAATGCTATAGTTGTTACCTTAGTTGCATGAAATAGAACTCTGAATTTTTTTTCCATCATGATATCCATGATCTTGGAAAGCTGTTCTACAATTCTAGACTAATATCTCTAAGGAACCTTAAGTTCTCAAAACATGTTTTTTATGGTCCCATAGTGGTCCTTCAGAAAGATTTACTCCTCCAAATCTGACAGAGAATATTCATAATTTAACAGAAAATATTCTATGTTTTAAAAATTGTTAGTAACTTATAATACAAAACTTGTAAATTCTTTCCACTGTCCCTCTTTAGCCAAACTCTTCTGTATTACCTAAGACAATAACATGCACATGAAATTAACATTCCTATAATTCTCTGCCTTTGTACACGGTGGGGACAGGTAACTTATTCCTCTGTTTAATCTGTGTCCTCTTAGTACAGATAGTTTTTACTTAGAATATACAAAAGTAAGTTTATAAAATTTTTAAATATCCACATATTCTTGGTCCAAGTTGATTTTGGTGTATCTTTTGAAAAAGCTCAGGGAGTATTATACTGCAAAACCTCCGGTGAGAACCAGTTGAATAATACTTAGTAAAACAACAAACAATGAATATTTACTAAATAAATTTAAAACATGAATTTTAATAAACAATGAATTGTTGAGGGTTATTCAATATGTTAATACTAACAGATTCAACCTAGGGTTCTCCACTAACAGTATTTTTAGATCTTTTTTTTTTTTTCCAGTAAAGGGATTAGTCCTGCCTTTAAATGTTTTCTGGTCCATTCTTAATGGTACTACACAAGACTACCAAGGGAAGATTACAGTTTCTTTTTCCTGGAAAAGTTAGAATAGAGAATAAACCCAAGTAAACACAGTACTACAAATAGCTTTGCCCAAAAGGCTTAATCCTAAAAAAAAAAAAAAACACTCAATGCTAAACCTGTTCCTCCTAAAAAGTTTGCTGTAGTATCTGTAATGAATTTAACTATTGAAAAATAAATTGTCTTACTCTTTCATACATTTGATTTTCCATGTTCAAATTCAGAAGCCTATACTTTCACGTAAAATAAGAAAAACCACAATGAATATTTCGAATGAAAGAGGAAACATGCACAAATATTTAAAATTATAGAGAAAGGAATCTTAAAACTCATTTAGGTGACAAGTTTATATGATACAAAAAAAAAAGGTTTATTCTTGAAAAAGATGGCATATCCAATGTTGTTCTCTTCCAAAACACTACTAAAAACACCAATCCAGAGACTGAAAAAAAAAAAAAAGGCATAATCCCCCAAAGAAAGGAGAAAACAGAACAGCAAGAAACAGCAATAAAATTTAGTAAATCTAGGATGCTGGCTCTCCCTGGTGGCGCAGCGGGATAAAGCACAGCACTAAGAAGCTAAAGCCACTTCCGCATGAGTTCGATTCCCGCCTGCCCCGGAGGAGATCCAAACGGCGTGGCAGACCTCTCCTGGCCCACCCGCTGCTCCCCTCAGCAGTGTACTTCGTTGATCTGCCTGTTCTGCTCCCCACTCTGTCTCTGGTGAATCCTCTCACCCTCCACATCTCTGGCCTCTACCCCAGTTCCATATGAATAAATAAATCTTTAAAAAAAAAAAACAAAAAACAAAACAAAACAAAAATTTAGTAAATCTAGGATGCTGACAGACAAGACCATGCAGATCCTATAAAATACTTAAGTCCAAAGGAGAGTCACGAACTAACCTGTTTTATATCACAGATCCCCCAAAGAACTGGCCTGGATCTGCTAGCTCTGAAATTGAAATGGATGGAGGGCAGAGTAGACAACTGACTCAAAGTCTCTCTGAGCAGTTAAAGTCCCAGATCCCCTCTAAAGAAATTATCAAATGCCTCTCATTCAAGAAAAGTGGTTCATCTATCCTCTAAAGGGAATAATGTCCCAGGACTCATATGCACAGCAGATTACAATTAAATTGCAGGGATTTTAGGTGAAGATATGTAGCCTACTGCTGAAACACACATGCCAAACATCTCCCCCATTTGACAGCCAGCTCTTACCCACAAGGGAGTACACTTCTTTGGAAACTAGATTAACCAAAACGATCTAGAGAATCACACAAAAAAGGCTGTGGTCCATAAGCCCCTACCCACAAAGTTGAGATTTCCAGTGTCCCCTTAAGTTAATAGTCCCTGAAGGTCACCAATCAAAGCAATGAGAAAAGGAGACATCAAAGCAAAAAGAAAAGGTAATTTAGAAGAAACCATGCTGAAAGGAAAACTTATAAAAACTTCTGATTAATATCCTAAGAGAGCCAGAAGGTACACAATCATAAAACAAACAAATAAGGTATTTAAAAAGGGACTAATGCAAGGAGGGATAAGAGAAAATCAAAAATTAAATGTTAGCAGAAATTAAAAGGATAGTAGAAAGTTCAGAAGATAAAGCTAAAAAACGTATCAGAGATTAGCACAAAAAAAATATTAAGAGCAACTAGAAAAGAAAATAGAACAGAGGAATGGCTCAGGGACAAGGGAAAGATTCTACAAGGATACAGAGGAAATAAAGCAGGTCATATACAAAGTTTAGAAATCAGAGGATTTTTTATTTTTTTTTACTTCAAGTAATGGAAAGCAATTGAGTAATTCAAAATATGGAAGAAAAATTATCTCCAATCTAGAATTCTACATGCATACCAGTGTGAAAATAAGATGAGTATGTTCTCAGACATGCAAAGCCCTAAGTTTCATGCACCCTTTTATATCAGGAACCCTGAAAGGAAGATGATCTCCAAAATATCAATAAATTATAAAAAAGATAAAGATTAGGGCTCCAACACAAGAAAAGCATCAAAAGGAATCCACAGAACAAGTGAAGAAATATGACAACTCTATCTGGTAAGGGAAGAAAAAGGTTCAGACTGGCATGGACATACCAACATTTTAGAAAATTAAATTGATGCATCAGAAATGCCAGAAACTGAAGTTAAAAGAAATTACTACATGAGTAATAGCAAACAAGGCTTTACAAGAAAAAATTAAAGTTCTTTCTATGGAGAAGTGAAACTCTATCCCCTTCAAGAGTCCCTTCCAACCTGTATATCCAGGCAATTACTATCAGCTCAGAATAAACAAAAGAAAAAAGTAAATGAATGGTGAAAATGACACAAAGAAATGAAGCAAAAGTTCAGAAAAACTTTAAAGTTTTAAGGAAAAAACGTATTAGAATACTTTTCTCAATAAGGAAAAACATATTAGAATACTTTTCTCAAAACTAACCATTCACAGGTATAAAACTAATAATTCTGATCTATCCAGTAATTAAAATTTATAGACTAGCTAAGGCAAAAGATAAAGAAAAAAATTTTTTGACTAACCCAAAAAAGGTTAGCAGATACTATATCAAGAAATAGTATAAGCAGAATATTTGGAAATTTGAAGATCATTACCAAGAGTAATGGATAAATAATAGCTAGTGATAAAAAGGTGGGGTAGTGGGCAGTTAAGAAGTTACCTTTTTTGTTTTAAACCTGTCTGTTTCATCTGACTTTTAAAAACTATGTACATGTCTCTTTTTAATTAATTTTTATTTAAAACCTGCTAAGATTTTGTTTAAATCTTTAAATTTCTGTATTATTTCTTTAAGACAATTCCTTATGCTTCTGGTGCTCACTCCCTTTGCTTCCAATTTGTAGTTACATGCCAATTCATCATGCTCTCTCACAACCATAGACATCGCTCACTATATGCTAGTAATTCAGCCATCTAAATTCTCTTCTCTTCTCTACAGAACACTTAAGCTTCTGCGTTGTCAGAATTTTGTCCCTTTCCCTCAACTGCCCAAGGGGGTAAAACTATTATATGATTAGAACTTTTGGTATCTAAATTAGTAGTGTCCCACTACTATAAATATGCATTCCCTAATCTCTCAATGTCCCTCAATTGTGATTAAGAAAGCCATTATTCTCTTTCAGTCCCCAATCTTACAATCTTTTTCCTTCCCCATCACGTTTCATTCTTCTTAATGAAAAAACCTGAAACTATGAACTATGATGATGAACTTGCCTCAACTACCTGCCTGTTCCTCAACCATTCCAGATCCACATTTTCCTAAACCCATACTTAACTCCTTACTCCTATCACTGGAGTATCCTACTTAAAGACACGATTCTTCAGCCAGTTTTACCAATCCCCAGCAGTCACCAGGTTTTGCTTTTAGAGTCACCTCCTAGGATATCCCCTATCTTTTACTTCTAACTAATAAACAAGCTGCCTCCATCACACCATTCCACTGAAATTTCTTCCCTGGGTCAGCAATAAAATGGACACTGAAAATCTGTGAGAATTTAAGTATTCTCTATTACCTCATTTTATCAAAGCAACTAGTACTATTTAATCTCCCCCCTTTAAATACTCTTTTTTCTCAAAGTTAGGATCACAGGCCCTTGACTGAGCTCTTTCTATCTGTGATCTCTAGCATTCTTTGTAGATTCCTTTGTCTGTCCATAAAGTTAGTATCCACTAGGGTCCTTTTCTTCCCTCTCTCCCCACTCCTTATCCTTTCCCTGGTCAATCTTTTCCCTTGAACCACATATGGCAATGATATCTTATCTATCCTTATACCAGAATAAATATATCAATTAAAAAACACTAATCCAAGTTTTCATTACTTTAACTTTTTGAAGATATATATAATACACTCATTTATGTTCCAAATTTCAGTGGGTAGTACAACATACAGTTAATCAATTTACAAACCTGGAATCATCAGATTCTTCATTCTTAGTCTCATCTAACCTATCAGTATATTATGTTAATTCCTATTCTTTGCTCTAACTCATTTTTCATTCTCACTGACTTTATCTTTCACCTGAAAGACTTCAAATAAACTTGTCTGCTCCTAAAACAACTCATTACCTGTATACTAATTTTTCTGACCAAGTGCAGGCAAAGTGACTTTCCAAAAGTGCACATAAATCTGTGTTATTTCTATACTGAAGAGTAGAGAATCCAGAAAACCCCTTTTGCATAGCATATTAATCCCTCATGGTCTAATCCATGAACAACTATTGAGGTATCAAGGTCTTTTTCCCACCAATCCCCTTCCCAGGCTGACTTAGATAATCTTTATCTGTGCTCTCACTAGATACATGCATTCATTAAAGAAACTACCTGTTCAAATACTCTCTTACTTTAGAGTGCCACATGAGCAAAAGAAAACAATTATTTCATTTTTGAGTACTCACTGCTTAAACTGAGGCCATAAAAATTGTATTCATTTACTATTTGCTGAGTAAACAATATTAAAAAAATTCTTAATGCTAAATAAGCAGAGCAGATATATTTATTAGTAATTTGTCAGTTAAGTTAAATTTTTATATAAGTTATAGAATTGTTCATTATAAAAAGCAAACATTTCAAAAAATGCAGATTTCATACATTCCATATACTGCTAAGAAAAACTATTTTGCTAACAGTTGAATGTTTTGTTGTTATAGTCAATTAAAGGTATTTTGTAAAATAGTCACTTTATCATTTTACATGGAGGATGGAGGAACCTTAAGGTCTCAAAACTATTTCTCTTAAATTATCATAAATTTAAGGGACTCTCCTCGTCCCCTCCAGCCTATATTCATCTACAAATATTAGAGACAGAAGTTTCATTTTTCTAAATATATGAACAATATTAACTATTTAGCATAGCCTATTAAAACAAAGGCTTTTTTTTCTTCTAAAAAAATTACTCACTACGAATGGCACATCTTCAAACAACTAGCAACAACAAATGTTGGCGAGAATGTGGAGAAAAGGAACTCTCCTGCATTGCTGGTGGGAATGCAAACTAGTACAACCACTATGGAAAACTGTCTGGAGGTTCCTCAAACTGCTAAACATGGAGCTTCCCTACGACCCAGCAATCCCACTCCTAGGTATCTACCCAAAAGACACAAAAACACTGATTGAAAAAGATACTTGTACCCCCATGTTTATTGCTGCTTTATTTACAATTGGAAAAACATAGAAGCAGCCCAAATGCCCAAAAGTAGATGACTGGATAAAAAAGATGTGGTACATATATACAATGGAATATTACTCAGCAACCAAAAAAGAGAAACACATGTCTTTTGCAGCAACTTGGACGGAGCTGGAAAAGATCATGCTTAGTGAGATAAGCCAGAAAGAGAAAGAAAAATACCGGATGGTTTCACTCATAGCAGGAGTATAATGGACCAGGCGAGAAAGTAACAAAAATAATGAACAACCATATACCAGAGACATTCTGTGGGGGTGGAGTGGGGAATGGGATCAAAAACGGGGGTGGGGGGGTGGGGAGGGAAGGGAGGGAAATGCACGGGACTATGGTGGTGGCACAGGGGTGGTTTGGTGATGGGAAACCCGCGGGGATTACAATCGAGATGGAAAAAAAAAATGTGCAAAATGATGTAAAAATAAACTTTGTAATAAAAAAAAAAGAAATTACTCACTACAGTATTTAGTATACAAAAGACATTACTAAGGTTAGGTTAACTCTCCGATATCTTAGGGATGGATGATATATTCTACGAATATTTCAAAGTAATTCAATTTAAAAAAGAAACTTACCTCTGGATGAAAAAAGATTTCAGGACCCAAGAATCTTTCATAACCAACATCGATGGAAAATTCCTTCTTTGAGATAGCATTGATGCCGGTATACTGCTTAATCCACTTTGATCCATCTGTGTCATACTTGTTAAATTCTTTTACTAAATCTGGGCAGACATAACTATAACGCTCCTTAAAAAAAAAAGATAGAAACAAGTAACTTTCTGTCTTGTTTTAGGAAATTAAATAATTTGGCATATTTTTAATAAACTATAATCAAGTGAAAATATAGCTCCAAGAAATAAAATCAGAAAATTAAGCTGAAAAAATTGTATGTTAGGATATCATATGTACAGTAAAAATAAATAGCTGTCTCAAACATGTAATTTCTGGTGTCATATATGAATAGAGTAAGATTGTCAAGCTAAAGATTCAATTTTTATTATTATAATGCTATCTCATGAAAACATTCATTAATGGCATCCAATATTTTACAGGGTTTCCATATTAATGTAAAATACACATAAAACTAGAGAATTAATAACAGTTGATATGACCACACAAAGTAATACAAACTCTTAACCTGTAACAAAACTATAACCTCAATAGATGACCAAATAAAAGGCTGGAAATATAATATATATTTTTTAATGGCCTCCCTGGTGGCCATTAAAAATCTCAGCAACATCAAACCACTCACTGTTGTATGAGTTCAATCCCCAGCCAAGGAGCTAATCCACATGATGCAGCAGACCCCCTCTCCTGGTGCTTCCCGCAGCAGTGTATTTCAGTAACTTCACTTGTTCTGCCCCCCACTCTCTCTGTTGAAATCCTCTCACTCCCCACACCTCTGGCCTACAATCCAGTTCTTCTATACATACATTTAAAAAAAAAGAAATCTTTAAGAAAATATAAACTGGCCCTCCCTGGTGGCGCAGTGGGTTGAGGCGCTGCAGCCGCTTCAATGCAAGTTCGACTCCCAGCCCCCAGAGGTGATCCACATAGCGAGGCAGACCTTTCCTGGCCTGCCAGCTGCTCCCTTCAGCAGTGTACTTCCTAGACTGCCTGTTCTGATCCTGACTCTATCTCTGGTGACTATTCTTACCCCTCATACCTTTGGCCTGTATGTATAAATAAATAAATCTTTTTAAAAAAATTGTTTTAAAGGCAAGAAAATATAAACCATTCTTTTTCACCTATAAGGCTAAATTACTGTATATCTGGTTACATGTCCTTAAAAAAAAAACTTACGGGTCATTCTATTTGCAATGGGTGGGCTCCCAAGCAGCCAGTCTTTTTAAAATACACACAAACACATTTCACAGCGCTTTTTTTTTTTTTTTAAATCATCAATGATGAACTAAAATAGACAGGACTAGCAAATATTGCTACTCATCATTAAGACATAGAAGGAAAAAATATCTGATGCTATTTTAGGCCTATGCAGGAATTACATGGAAATGATAACCCTTGAAGTTTAAAACCTGAATATCAATATTCTCTACAGTAGATTTAAATCTTTGGTTATTTTAAAACTGTCAGAAGATTTTGTTAATTTAAAAACGTGATAGGTTTCCCAAAGATGTTGAAAATAATAGTATTACTATTATTTAACCCTATTTCATTTTGATGCCACCAACATGGGGTTACTGTTGGCAGCCATTTATTAATCCCTTTACTGCAGAAAATGTAGTAAACTCATTATATCTGAGGAACTATAACGTTTTTAAAGATTTATTTATGCATACAGGCTAGAGGTGTAGGGTCGGTGAGAGGATTCACCAGAGACAGAGTGGGGAGCAGAACAGGCCCACTGATGAACTACACTGCTGAGGGAAGCAGCGGGCAGGATCAGGAGAGGTCTGCCTCACCACGTGGGTCACCTCCCTCTCTGGGAATGAACTGGCACTGAAGAGGCTTTAATTTCATAGTGCTGTGCTTTAACTTGTGACGCCACCAGAAAAGGCCCACTATAATTTTTTTTAAGATCCATTTATCTATTCATACAGAACTGTGGTACAGGCAGGGGCACATAGGTGGTAAAAGGATTCACCAGACACAGAATGGGGAGCAGAACAAGCAGACTGACAAATTACACAGTGAGGGGAGCAGCGGGTGAGACAGGAGAAGTGTACTGCACCATGTGGATCACCTCCAAGGCCAGGGATCAAACTCACACTGAAGCAGCTGAAGCAGCTGTGGCTCACTTGCAATGCTGCATTTTAACACGCTGTGCCACCAAGTAGGTAATTTTTTTTTTAATAAAATGCCTTTTTTTAAAAAAAAATAAGATTTTATTTGTTCATACAGAACTGGGGTACAGGCCAGAGGCTCAGGGGCAGCGAGAGGTTTCACCAGAGACAGAATGGGGAGCAGAACAGGCAGATTGACGAAGTACACTGCTGAGGGGGGCAGCGGGCGGGCGGGTCAGGAGAGGTCTGCCACACCATGTGGTCACCTCGAGGGCAGGCGGGAGTAGAACTCATGCGGAAGTGGCTTTAGATTCTCAGTGCTGTGCTTTAACCCACTGCACCACCAGGAAGGGCCCAGGTAGGTAATTTTTTAAGGTACACTGGCAAATGATGAACTTAAAAAGCAAAGCCAAGTATTTTGAGTGTTGGTATAAAGCACTGAAAAAGACTTTGGTATCATACAAATTATTTAAAAGACATTAAATAACTTTCACATTTTTCTTCTATTTGCCACATCACATGAGCCAACTGCCATTTCTTTCCTATAACCAAATAATTATATATTTTAAAAATTATAACATAAAAATGTCAGCATAAAATTTCAGTGGAAAAACTGGGAGAACTCTGAAGTGAACTAATTATTTTATTAAAAAGAGTAATCACCCAAATGTTTGTTAGAGTCAATTGGTATAAAGGTTCTTACTTAAGTCCCCTCAAATATGAAAAAATGTGGAGAACAAATGAAAAATGAGGAATAAAGCCAATAATTTCCTTATAAAGATACAAGAAAAATAACACATATAATTGAGAGTCATGATTTGTAACTGGCTAACAAAAGTAGGTTTTTCAAAGGTACTATTTCTCACAGTACAAGTGGTAATGGTGATGGGAGAACTACAGGGCCAATACCTGAGGAGAACAATCATTAAATGATAAATTATTAACAACATTGTAAGAAGAAAATACCTCACTTAAAATTTTAAAAATTAATCTTTCGTGTTAACATTATAAACTTGACATTAATTTCTAATTAGATCACACTGTCATCAATTACTTTTTACCTTTACTGCCTTAGCAGTTTCCAAGGATTGCTCTGGAGGAATTCCTACTTCTCGGTCTCTCAGCAATTGCTGAATAAAGTATGTTATGTCTCGGCCTGCAATTGGAATGTGCTTAATACAGCTGCCAATCACATAACCTTCAGCCTATATGAGAGAAAATAAAAAAGCATCAGCTAGAATTTGTTTATAAAATTCTAATATATATAATTCTAATAATAATTTAAGCTAATAAAAATGAATCATATCTTAGCTAATGAGAAAATCACGGAAAAGTGTAAAAATGTAATATTTAAAGGTTTTAAAAGGTAGTATTAATCCATTATTTACCCTGCCAGATGAATTACTTAATGTTCTGTTCAGGAATTAAAATATTCTTACCACTGGAATGACATGAGTGACACCATCTCCACTGTCTATTACCGTACCAGTCAGTGTCCGTTCTCCTACTTGTCTTGAGGTCCAGGATGCAGCTAAGGCAAGAACAGCCTTAAACAAAAATAAGATAGGTAAAAAAAGAGAAAACAAAAACACAAAGTTGTCTCTCTCTCTCTACACACACACACACACACACACACACACACACACACACACACATTACTGAAGTACTTTAATGTTAAATGTAGTTTAAAATGTTTAAAGAAAATACAAAATTAATTTATATACACAATGTTATCATCATTCCACACTTATTAAGGCAAAGTTAACAAGCTTTTATTTACTTTTAGAAATATATTTATAAATTTTCCATATTTCAGTTAGCAATTCAAAAAAATGTGGAAGTGTAACAGGAATAGTATAGTATTAAAATTGCCAGGACTTAAACTATGTTTATCTTGACTAGTCTGTAAATCACAAAGTGAGGGGAAAGTAAGATAGTACAAATCACCTGTCCAACAATTACTAAATACATAGAAGACTATTAACAAGTATCACTCCTGTAAAATTAGTTCCAAATTTCTAAGCGTGAATTACATTCAGAAATATGTAGCAAATTATTTAATCACAGAAAAGCATTGCACACTTTCATATACTATGATTTAATTAGGTAAGTTGATAAAGTAACAATTTATGAATTATTTTGGCATAGACAACAAAGTACAATTCATATTTCAAAAAAAAAGTTTGGAAGTTTACACATCTAATGTTTTAAAAACAATGTAAATTCCAAACCTCAATTTTTGACTAATAATTAAAAGCAGGGCTAAACTTATTTTACCTAGTTACAATAAAATAGCTGAAAGGGACCTAGAAAGTTATTTAGGTCACCTTATTTTAACACATCATAATCACTATACTCTATACATTTATTAGACATCTGTGATATGTCAGGTGTCGCACCTACTATAAAATAAGTAAAAGAGGCGAGCTGTAATCCTGAGAGGTAAAAGTAAAGCTGTTCCACAAGTATACACACAAACTATGTGCAATGTAGTATTACAGGAATTTATGACATACTAGATACTCTCCAAAAGGGAGAGTGGTCAAATATAACTAGTGGTAAGTCAATCAAAACAGACCATTAAAAAAAAGGACAAAAAGTGGATGTTACAAGGATAAAAAAGTGAATGCTACAAGATAAATAAATACTTATAATAAAATTCCTGACATTAAATAATTAAATATTAAGTTCTCTCATTTCTGTCCTATTCAAAGAGCATCAACTTATTTAACATTTCACTTTTGTTCACTAAATACTTCCATATTCTATAATATGATTTCTAAGTTATTAAGTCAAGAAAGCATTATGACATGCTTACATTATAAATAAAATTATTTTTAGAGTGATTTAATTAAAAAACACATTAAAACTTAAGAGTCAACCTTATCTTGATTCACTAACTTGCTTACCTGCACAGCAATGTACAAGCCTGGAACATTGAAGGACTCGAACATTATTTCAGCAGTATATTCCCTGTTTTCTGGAGTATTCAGTGGAGGCTCAGTCTGTAAATTGAATAATATTTTTTAAAGTAAACGTTATCAGCTTATTTGTATAACTTTAGAATTTTTTAAGAGACTTTATTTCAAACAATAAACTTAAAATCATTAAAATTAGGTACAACAATCTACATGTAGGTTGAAAAACTATAGAGAATTCAAATAGATGTATACGTATAGCAAAACAATATGGTGATGCTCACGGAAAAAAGAAAGTGAAATTCTTCATCCTACTACTTACAAGGATTAAACCTTGAGAAAAAGAAGTAGTAGTACAGAAAGAGGATAACCAGTCAAATCAAATTATAAACATGAGAATGGCAGGCCTCTAAGCATACATACCAATATTATTTGCTGGTGGAAGAATTCTCATCTATGTAGTACTTTTAGCAGTATGTACTTAATTTGTCTAAGAGTCTAGTAAATAAGCCAAGTGTCTATAAATTTATGGTGTGGCTTCCTAGGAAATGCTATATTTATATAATTAAGTGTTAAGAGTGAAAAGTGGAGATTTTTACAGTTCTTTTCAATTTATGTTATGCAACTAGATATATCACTAGAAATTTGCAGATTAAATCTGGGCTAGACACTTGCTAATAACGCAAAATAGAACTGAAGGCACTTGAAATCCTGGACTTCATGTATGTTTTATGACTACTTTAACTGTTTAAATTTGTAAAGCCTATAGGATAAGACCTATGATTCTTATGCATCTAATGAACATCACAATCCTATGTATTATCTCAAATATTTAAAAAGGCAAAACTTTTAAACTTAATAGAGAAGAATTCTTTTTGACTTAAGGAATGATTCCTTAAATTTACAAATTTACAAAGGGAAGACTAATAAAACTGAATTCATTACAAATGAAATCTTTTAATTTTAAAAGACACAAAGTAAAACAAAAAAGATTTTTTTCTATAAAACCTTTACAACTAAACTATGTAAAGTGTTTAAACTTATCTAACAAAGTTTTACAACTATACTCATTAGTTGGAAATTATTTAGAAAACTTAAAAAACCAAAGCAGTTAAATTGTAAATTCTAAGAAAAATATAAGTTCTGTATACATTAAAATGTAATCAGAAGACCTTGCAAAGGAAAACATATAGCTAATAAATACATGAAAAGAACATCAACATCATGAGCTATCAGGAAAATAAAAATTAAAAAGAGAAATCTTAACACACCCACCAGAAAGGCTAAAATTAAAAAGGCACATCAAATGTTGGATAGACTATAAAGCAAACTGATCAGTAACACTTAACTGGAGGCTATGAAAAAAAGGTTACAACCCCTTGGAAAAAATTCTGAAAATTGCTGTAAAAACTATCATGTACATATCCTCTGACACAGCAAATGCATTTCTAGGTCTTCACACAAGAGAAATTAAAATATTGCTCAGAAGATTTAAGTAATATAATAGCTAAAATACGATGACATTATCATATGGGGGAAATGTATATTCATGCAAAGGAATACTACCCCCAAGTAGTAACATGTTACTGGTATATGCAACCACATAGATGAATCTCAAGATTAGGCTTAGGGAAAAACATCTCACCAAAGAGCAAATAACATTTTGTAGGATTCCATTTTTTTGATACTCAATCTACACTCAGAGATAGGGATTAAGTAGGAAAGGGCATAAAGAGACTCTCCAGCTATCAGTAACATTCCAAGGGCCCTCCCTGATGGCACAGCCTGTTAAAGCATACCACTAAGACGCTAAAACCATTTCAGCATGAGTTCAAACCCCACCCACTGCTCCCCTCACCAGTATACTTTGTCCATCTGCCTGTTTTGCACTGGTTCTGTCTCTGGTGAGTCCTCTCACCACCCCTGCACCTCTGGCCTGTACCCTAGTTTTGTATGCATAAATAATCTTTAAAAACAAATAGTAACATTCCATATCTTAATAACAATTTAGGTTATACAGATGTATGCATCTGTCAAAAACAGAGGATGTGCAAGCTATATCATCTATTGGTCAAATCCAGGGCACCCACTTGTCTTTTGTAAATACAATTTTATTAGAACACAACCATAACTATTCAAGTGTTGTCTATATTCTACAATTGCAGAACTGAGGAGCTGCAACAAAGACCATGATATAGCCAACAAAGCCAACATATTTGGTAGGGAAAGCTTCAGCTCTTGCTCAAAACGCAAAGAATGAGAGGGTTAAGATTTATGCGTTATATAGCATGAAAATTTTATATAAAAAAAAGACTATAAGCTTAAAAATGGACTATAATTGATGAATGTGTGCTAAAGTAATTCAGAGTTGATATGACTACCTACAACCTACTCTGAATTAATTCCAAAAAATAAGTACAGAATGCTAGTGCAATAATGGGTAGTATCATAAGGAAATGGTAAGAAAATGTTAACTCTTGAGGCTAGATTGTGGATATGTGAATGCTCACTGTACAGTTCAATTATGTTTATGGCCCATTCGTAAATAATACTCACATTATCATCATGCTAAAAATAAAAGTGATTTAAGCAAACATTGTGACAACTAAAATGCAGGAGGGGGACAAGACAGGGATTTTGAGTAAGAGGGAACAAAAGAACAAAGACAAAATCATCTTTCCTACTATTAAGTTAGTAAGTGGTATCTATATTAATAAATAAGAAAGAAAAAAACATGCTGTTTAAATATATGATAGTAAAGAAAAATGCTATTTCTTTCTACCTTTTCAGAACCTACGGTTCCTGGCATTAAGATTTCATATTAATTGCCAATAAGACTTCCTTAAATGCCTAAACTTTTTACTGGAATCCAGGTGAGGACAGTCATAAAGGTGATGCAGTTGTACAACAAAAGCTTCTAAACATGTATGACAACTTAATAAAAATAAAATATGTCCTATTGAGCAAAGATATATCATGGAACTGTTCTTAGTAAACATCTTCAGAAATTGCCTCAGTGAAATTGTAAGTCATACTTACCAAAAGAAAATAATGATCTTCTGGTTCTGCCCTTAAATACTTAAAGATCACTTGCTCCATAAACCTTTCCATCAAGTCCCAGTCTTCAACTATACCATGACGGATTGGCCACTATTCAAACAAAAAACAAAACAAATTAAATCTTATGAAAATTAAACTATAAAAAAACCCAAAGAATAGTAGATAACTAACAGATAGTGGATAAAAGTAGCATTTCTGAGGTGTGATAATGATACTGTAGATCATTTGGGGGAACTACATACTTAACTATTTAGAAATGAAATTATTTTTACAACATTATTTTCATGCACATCAACTAAAATATTTGGAACAAATTATGTCAAAATTGATTACTATGTAGAGTTTCTTCCTAAAACAACTTCCCCTACAAAATTTACCCAGCTAACTCCTATTTTATTTTTCAAGTTTCAGCTTAAAAAGATTTACTCCTCAAAGATTGTCCTCAATAAGCAAAGTAGGTTAACTATTCATAATATACATAGAGTCCAGAACATCCCATATTTTCCTAACCTCGGTAACACTAAAGTAATTCTTCAATGTCTTCTTTTCAACCACATTATAACTGCCTTACATTTAGAAAGTCATTTTTCTTATTTAGTATGTTATTCTTAACAGTGAGGATTTTTTCAAATTATGAGAAAGGAATAAAAGTACAAAGGAGCAAATTTACAAAATAGGCAAAACCAGTGTCTAAAAATAACCCAAATTAAGAGCAGTGGTCCTTTTTGGTGGCACAGGTTTAAAGTCTCAACTCTCTCAAGCTATTGCCAGCCAGACTGAGTTTGATCCCTGGTCAGGAAGCTGACCCACATGGCAGAGCAGGCCTCTCATGCATCGACGCCCTGACGCCTGCTGCTCCCCTAGCAGTGATTTTTTTTTTTCTTAAAGATTAATTTATTTATTGCATACAGAAATGGGATACAGGCCAGAGGTGCAGGGGTAGTGAGAAGATTCACCAGAAACACAGTGGAGAACATAACAGGCAGATCAACAAAGTATACTACTGAGGGGAGCAGCAGACGAGACAGAACAGGTCTGCTACACCATGTGGATCACCTCGCTGGGCAGGTATTGAACTCACACTGAAGGAGCCATGACTTAGCTTCGCAATGCAGTTCCCCAACCCGCTGTACCACCAGGGAAGACCTAGCAGTGTGTTTCAGTAGATGTACCTGCTCTGCTCTCCACTCTGTCTCTGGTGAATCCTCTCACCCCCCGTATCTCTGGCCTACACCCCAGTTCTTGGACGCATAAATAAATTAATCTTAAAAAAAAAAAAAAAAGCTTATGTACCTCATTGTATATAATTTAATTTAAACCTCAATTAAAAACATGGGGAACGTGGGGTGGGAATAAGGGGAAGGGCATAGGAAGAGAAAAGTAGGGCGAAAAAGAGAAGGGAAAAAACAGCATTTTACAGATAACAGACATAGTTTCAAAAAAGGAAAGAAATGGTATGGGTTTGAATAAAGACAAGAGAAGATTGTCTCTAGACATGGAGGTAAAGAAAGAAAGTTATCATGAAAGCTCTAAGATCAAGTAGGTATGTAAAAGTAAACAATGCTCAACTGCTCAGGTTAAACTTTTCTTTGTGAGTAGAAAAACACAACAAAGTTAAAGCAAGGTTGGGGGCCCTCCCTGGTGGTGCAATGGGCTAAAGCACAGCACTATGACGTTATCGCAGCCACTGCAGCACCAAGTTTGATCCCTGGCCAGGGGGATGACCCACAGGGCGTGGCAGACCTCTTCTGTCTAGCCTACTGCTCCCTTCAGTAGTGTGTTTCAAACTGCCTGTTCTGCTGCCCACTCTGTCTCTGATGAATCCTCTCAACCCCCCATACCCTGTCCTGTACCCCAGTTGCATAAATAAATAAATCTTTTTTAAAAAGTAAGAGGCCCTCTGTGGTGGCGCAGCAGGTTAAAGCACAGCACTAAAGAAGCTTAAGCCACCACTTCCGCATGAGTTTGATTCCAGCCTGCCCCGGAGGTGACCACATGGCGTGGCAGACCTCTCCTGACCCACCCGCTGCTCCCCTCAGCAGTGTACTCCCCCCTTGATCTACCTGTTCTGCTCCCCACTCTGTCTCTGGTGAATCCTCTCACCCTCCGCATCTCTAGTGCTAAGCAATTGAGTATATTAATTAGGTCTATAATTGAATTGCATATTGAACAAACTAATGTCTTAAAGAAAATGTTATTTACTTATTATACAAATAATAAAAACATACCTTTGTTGCATAAGTAGGTTTTTCTATTGCTTCATCACCAATGAAGAAGTCTAGGTCATCAACACCTTTCATCACCCTCCTTTGAGCTTGATCACCCACTTTTGCTGACTCTTTAATAGCAATACCTTTAAAATAAGTTATTTATACATTTCAAAATCATTTTTTTCTTTTGAGATCAACTGTTAACTTCTTCTATTACAATGTGTTTTTAAACAAAACATTAACTTCTTTAAACTGTCACAATAAAAGCCAAAAAGGTCATAAAAAAGTGACTTAAACAAAATTCACTTAATGAAATCTCAACTTCCACCCAGTTTCAAAACTAAAAAGCAAAAAAAGTACTGCTTTAGGTATGTTTCAGTTACTTTTTTTAATGATTTACAACCTATTTTTTATTTGAATAAATTGTAACCACCAAGTCAGCACATATTTGATGGGTAATCAGAAAGAAAAAATTTTAAATCACCAACAAATGAAAACAGGAAGATGCAAGGAGGATTTCAAGTGACATGAATCACAATGAACTAGTATAATTTAAATATAGCTTGACCTATTGATCTGTTAAATTTTAACCATACAATTAAGAAATTTCAAATTATTTAACTAAACCCACAACAATCTTCTGAATTTTAGAATACCAGCATACAGTTCTAGACCTTAAATTTGCTATATATTGCTTAATCAGACATAAATTTCTAAATGCTTCAAGTGAAACAGCTTTTCATTCAAAATCTCTGTAGGTTCTCATGCTGATTTGGCATTCACTTGTCACACTTCAATTAATACAGTGACATCCTAAATAAAGTGGGTAAAGAAACCTAAAGGAATTCTAAATTCACAATTTTACTTCTAAATTCTAGAAAACCTCACATGTACATTATAATCCAGATGGCTCACTATAAATTTCCTGGAAAATAAAGGTATCAAAAAACTTTGAATCACACAACAGGCTTTTCAGAACAAATATTAGTGGCAGTAACTACTAACTACTGATTTCAAATACAATACCTACAATATTAAAAACTGACAAGGTAAAAAAAAAAAACTCAAGTTCAAAAATCTTTCGGTGGACCAATAAATTAATATGCTATAATGACTCAAAAAAGGACAATTAAATCTAAAAATGTGTGTTTTGTTCAAGAGATGAAATAAACAATGGTGAGGCAACATTAAGATTGAAAAGACCAAGTTTATATGGGCCTCCAACAGAATTAACAAGATGACTGAAGAATAGAAGCAAATTCACAGTTTGGAAAGATGAGAAAGTCAAGTAATAGTCCATAAAAGTCATTTTGATTAGACAGTAACAGAGCCAATGTTTGTCATCAAATTTTTAAAGTAAACAACTGTCAATATATTGATGTATAAATACAGGAAAAAGATAAAGACATAAAACTTTCCTTCCATGTAGACAATAAATACTCACTAATAAAACAAAATGGGAAAGGCAACAGTACTATCAAACTAAATCCACCATATTCACATGAATGAACTCTTTCATCAGTGTAACCTAAAATACATTCTAGGTATTAGAGTATTAATTTCTCCTGTTTCACACATTCACATCTTGCTATACAGATGATAAAACAATTGACCTGTTCATGTTCAGTAGTGTCCAAATGAGACTAAAGAACTAATTTTGAGTAAATTTAATTTCTATCTTCTTCTCAACTTCACTGTCTTTGAAATTTATGCTGTTTTCACTACTTTATCTGGATGTTCATTTTTCTTTCTTATTTTCATAATGAATAAGACTATACAAAAATAGTCACACAAATACAAAACTAGAGACAGTCTCCATATTAAATTGTAAAAGTGAGCACTATGAAGCAATGGCTCAAACAATTTATCACCTAACGTGAAAGTTTCTATCTAGCATTTGGACAAATAGATCAGAGGTACATAATATTTAAACAGTGAATTGTCTGAGAGTGAAAAGTACAAAGCTTTACTTATCATAGACCAGATGCTAACAAATAAGAATACTAACAAATGAAATGTGAGGGTGTTTTTTAAAAGCCACTCAAAGTTAAACTATTGGAAGTAGAAGATTTGCTAAAGTTAGCAATAACGTAGAAGAAAAACACTTTCGGGATGGCTATGGGATATAAGAAAACAGCTGAAGTCAGTATCTTAAAGATGAAATCCTGTACTTATCAGAGTTGTCAACAATACTGGTAGGTCCTGCAAACCATTATACTACAAACCATAGTCTTTGTAGGTGTGATATAGGGGGATGTATTTTTTATGAGTTAATTAACTCCATATACTGTTAACAGCAATGTCTTCAAAGCAGAAACTAGTTTATCAATTCATTCATTTTGTTTTTTAAAAGAGGTATTTGGTAAATATATTGCTGGATAACAGAGACCTGAAAAGAAAAGGTCAGAGGTCTGGAATGTGCCCACACAGAATATGGCAAGCCATGTTTTTAAAGGACTTAATCGTACCAATGTTAGAACTGATTATCTCTTTTACTTAAATATTTTTTAAAAAGTTTTAAATCAGCTTGTTTGTGGTATAAGAGAATTACTTACAGGAAGGGATGATAAACTGTGGTTCCGTATTTCCAGCATATCCTAGTTTTGTATACCTACAAAACAAAAAGATTTTTTAAGAATTTCAGGAATAACTTAGCAATTATAAATTTAATTCTTAGATGCCTATTTGTTACGAAATGAGATTCCATAATGGGGAAATACACAAAATTCCAGAGCTTCAATACATTTAAACATCTTTGTTTTCAAAATTATAAATACCCCTGTTTTGAAGCAGAAACTCCATGTCTAGAACTAATACGAAAGAGATGTGTATATGTGTGAAATAACATGACAAGGCCATCTGCTGCAGTCCTCTTTGTAACAGCAAAAAACAAGAAATAATCTAAGTATAACTTTTAAATGAAAAACTAGTTAACATGTTAAATTTACACTGATATATTATGCATCTATTAAAAATGAGACCAATAAAACTTCTTACATACTGATATGTCTCAATCTCAAATGTGTTGTTAAATGAACGAGGCAAAACAAAGAACAATGCTTCAAGTATGCTCTATTTATATTAAAATAAAAGAAACAGGTTAAAGCACAGAAAATATATTGGACTGGACAGGCACACAATAATCTCTGGAAATGTATATAATGAAATCAGTAACTTTGGCTGCCTTCATGGAAAGGAACTGAGCAGGTGATGGGTAGGAATAAGAAAGACTTTCTAATTTTTGCCTATCACTTCATACCATTTAAATGCTTTATTATTCAAAATAACTACTTTTTCTATTTTGTCATTTTGTTTTCTTTAAGTCTCAAAATTAAGCTCAAGAATTAAGAGTAGGGGCCTCCTAGTGGCACAAGGGTTAAAGTCTCAGTGCGACCAAGCTTTTGTCAGCCACTGTTGCATTTCCAGCCAGGGAGCTAACCTACATGGTGCAGCAGACCTCACCTGTCTTGCCCACTGTTCCCCTCAGCAGTGTTATTTTAGTCGATCCACCTGTTCTGCTCCCAACTGTCTCTTTGGTAAACCCTCTCAACACTTCACTCTACTCCACCCCACCACCTACCTCCAGCCCCATAGTGTAAATTTAGCATGTTAACTGCTTTTAAAAAAATAAATAAGTACGTGCCAGACCCTCCCTGATGGCTCAATGGGTTAGGAAGCAGCACTGCAAGCTAGCCGCAGCAGCTTCAGTGTGAGGTCAATCCCCAGTCCAGAGGGTGATCCACATGGTGCAACAGACCTCTCCTGTCTCACCCACTGCTCCCCTCAGCAGTATACTTCATCCATTCGCCTTTTCTGCCCCTCACTCTGTCTCTGGTTAGTTCTCTCACTGCCCCTGCACCTCTGGCTTGTATCCCAGTTCTGTATGCATAAATAAATAAATATTTTAAAAAACTGAGTGCCAAATGAAAACAATTATTAAAATTAACACGAATTGTTCAAAAGGTGATAGTGCTCTACTAACTAAAACTTTTAAAGATCCCCCACTGTCCCCATTCAAAAAACAATTTTGCAAGGCATACTGAAGAACCTCTTCATAAATTATTTCTTGATGGTTTTCACTACCAGTTGCCCTTTTCTTTTACTAAATAGTAAACATGCTTATGTCCCTATATTGCTATTTTTCACCTGTGTTCCTACCCTCTCCCAAGTTTGATTCTAAGATATTTTAAGTAGAATATGTATTATAGTATAAACTCTCTTTAAGAAACCTCCAATTTAACAAGTTCAACAGGTTAATCAATAACCCATTCCCAGTCAAGTACCACAGGTTATCATTATTCAAAAACAAGCTATTCCAAAACAAACAATAAAAGGATTTAATGTACTCAAAGGAGTCAATTCATAACCAAAACAAGTAAGCTCTTTCCCAAAACACAAAATTTAACTATACATAGTAGATCAGCTGTATCTGAAACATAGAAAAACAATGATTTTCTAAGTATTGAGGGACAACAGCCAAGAGGCTTGAAATTTAACATTTAAATAGATGTGGGGAAAAGATGACATTCAGACAGACTACAGACAGGTGAAAAAGTTCAATATCACTTAGAAATATAAATTAAAACGACACAGATATTACCTCACCCCTGTGAGAAGAGCACCTTTAAAAAAGAAAAAAATAAATAAATGCTGGCTATGTGGTGGTGACAAAGAACTCTCATCCACTATTAGTGGGAATACAAGCTGGTACAACCTCTATGGAAAATATAGTATGGAGATATCTCAAGAAAAAGGAATTGTTTGACACTACAATACTGCTTTAAGTATTTTCCTATACAAAAAGATCTATCAACACCTATGTATACAGCAATACTGTTTATAACTGTCAAATTATTGAACCAACGTAAGTATCCTTCCAAAGATGAATGGATAGAAAAAACTGTGGACCATCTATCTATTCAATGAAATATTACACAGGTACAAAGATAAAACTCTGGGATCTGGGACCAAATGGACAGATCTTGGTGTGACTATGCTGAGAGATAAATCAAAAAGTGAAAGACAGATTTCAATGGTCTCACAAATCTGCAGAATATAACTACCCAAAAACAATTACACACTAATAATTCCCGCCCTGGAGATGATACACATGACGAGGCAGACCTCTCTTGACCTGCCCGCTCAGTAGTGTACTTCACCAGTCGGCCTGTTCTGCTCCCCACTCTGTCTCTGGTGAATCCTCTCACCATCCCTGCACCTCTGGCCTGTACCCCAGTTCTGTATGCATAAGTAATTAAATCTTTTAAAAAAAAAGTCATTAACCAAACTGAGCAATTTTAGAAGATACTTAACCAGACACATGCAGAGTACTCATCTCTCCCCTCCTCCCAAATATAAAAAACTCTTCCCTTCAGCTTGTAAACACTTTGATCATATTTCCTCTCAGCAAGTTTTAAATATTAGGTTAAATGGCTTGGAATTTCTAATTTGCCATGTGATAACATTATTTAGTGTAGGATTGAGACTTGCGACAAACTTTCACATATGCAGACTACCCAAATTAAACTACAATTTTACATAATATCTATCAAATGTCTGCAAAAATAAAACTATCTAATTTAAAATTCATATTGGACCTCAAACAACCCAAACAATGTTTAAAATGAGTAACAAAGGTGGTAGAGGTATCAACAATCCTAATTTCAAAACTTATTAAAACATAAAATGCTACAGTAACTGTGGTACTGGCATACAAACATTTTAGAGGAACAAAATAGGGCCAGAAATAAACCCTCTATATATGGTCAAATGATTTTTAACGAGGGTGCCATAACCATTCAAATGAGGAAAGGATAGTCTTTTCAACAAGTGGTGATAAGAAAAGTATATATTTATGTGTGAAAGAATGAATCTTTATCTTACACCACCCACATATAAAAATTACCTCAACACATTAAGAACTAACATTAAAAAGATTCTTAGAAGATTTGGCAATGACACTCTTTTAGTGTCCTTTTGTGCACTAAAGCACAGGCAACAATAAAAAGTATAAAATGACATAAAAATTATTAGTGCACAAAGGACACTAAAGTATGCAGAAGCACAGAAAGGGAGAAAATACTTTTAAACCATGTATCTGATAGGGATTAATATTTAGCCATAAAGGACTCTTCACCACCAACAAAAAATTCCAATTAAAATATGGGCAAGAACAAATAGGCCTATTTTTCCAAAGATATAACAAAAGGCTATCAATAAGCCCTCACAAAAAAAACCCCAATATCATTATTAAAGGAAATACAAATCAAAACCAAAATGAGATACCACTTAACACCCATTAGGGTTGCTATTATCAAAAATAAAAAATGGAAGGTAACAAAGGTTGGTGAGAGCAAGTAGACTGAAACCTTTGCAACAATGCTGGTAGGACAGCAAAATGGTACCGTCAGAATTACATTATCTCAATCTAAGTTTAGAAAACACATAGGAGAAATTATTACTCAAAAATTTTCCTTTGTATGCCAGGGAAAAAAATAAACAGAAAATAGCCCTGTATAAAATCTACAATGCTGATATTGACTAGCAAGATTGGGAAAGGATTTGGAGAAGGGAATATAGTAAAAGAGAGATAACAAAGGTACTTTTAAAGTTATCAAAGACTTGCTGACTAAAAGCCAGTGGGAAATAAGGGAAGGTCTAGAATGACAAACAGTAGTATCCTTTATATTGAACATTATGTTTAACTCCAAAAATAAATAACTTTAGTTCAAGTGTTGACTTAAAATATGTAGTTGTCAATGAGTATTTCTTCCTTAATAAAATGTCTCATTTCTTCATTTTGAAAACATGTCACAAAAAAAGGCTATCTGAAGATTCTAATTTGTTACTGATACTAAATTACTAATGGGCACAAAATCTTTTTTAAAAAAGCATATTTCCAAAAGGAACTTGAATTACAAATAAGTATAATAAAAATCATTCCAGAAAAAGAACAAGCATATACTGAAGTTACGACACTGAATACAGTATATGTCTACAACCTAAGTAGTAATGAAACTAGAATTTTAACTTTTAATGTTTCAACAATGTTAAACCATGTAATAAAGTGAATACAATACCCTAGAATTTCAGGATGAAATGAATTTTGATCTAGTGGAACCCTTTTCCCAAAATTTCTTGGTAGTGTCAACTACTAACATAAAGGAATCTACCTCAATATAATCACATTTACCACTACAAAAGCATCAAAACAAAGTATATCAGAGCCAGAGAGAAGGTAAATAGATAATAAGCATGTGATTATCAAATTTTAAATGAAAATGGGTGCTCACAAAGGAATCCCATTGCCTACTTTTATAATAATTTAATTCTCAGTTTTCTTTGACTTCTAGTTTCAGGAACTTTTAGGACGAAAATGCAATGGCTAATCCACAAGGATTATTAGTTATTAAAATAATTAATAATTGTCTAAAAAGTATAATCAAGGCCCTCCCTGGTGGCACTGGGTTTAAAGACACAGCACTATCAAATTATCACCAGCCACTGCAACACGAGCAACATGAGTTCGGCCCTCTGGAGCCATGAAGATAACCCACTTGGAACAGAAGACTTCTGTATTGTCTGCTCAACAGTATATTTCAGCAAATTGCC